ACTCTTCTGTGGAATGTTGCTCATGTACTTCAAGTTACTGCTTTTAGAGCCATAGTATCAAGGGCTCTGGATGAACGCAAAAACAGAATGAGCTGAACCCAGAGGGAAGACAGCCGTGGAATGAGCCACTTTACTACTAAGTTCCCACTACTGAGCTTCCATGTGTTAGTACTGAAAACCAAGACTTATAATTTTTTATAGTTACTTAAAATTACCTTGCCACAGTGGTTATTTTCTGGAGGGAGTTACTTTCTGCTAAGATATTATAATTTCAAAGACCGAAAATATTTGTACAGCTGAATCTTTCCTCTGATTCAATATCTATTGGGGAAATACTCAGAGATGCACATTTCAGGCTTTTGGTATAGCTCCTTCTTCCACGTGGGCTGCTGCTTCATGTGATCTTCCACTCATGATTGATTTAGCTGTCTTTTTTTGGAATATGCTCACCAGAGGTTCTATTCCCAGAATCCTAAATTTCATAGTTAGAACATGCAGCACCTCTTGTATGACATCAAAGGGAGCAGGCCAGCCTGTGAAGTGACAGTGAGGAAAAGACTAATCAATAACAGAACTCCAAAGCCTTCACTGATGCAAACTACTGGGAAAACTACACTGAAAGGACAAGATGGCTAACATAATGACAAATTCCAGAGCTGCAAGGGTTCATGCTGATTCAAGTCTAGAACATAACAGCCTGAGGTGGAGAAACATTCTAGAAGGGACAACTACTCAACTTGGCCAGAACTGCAAAGCTTGAGGCCTAAGTTAATATGACATTGTGCTGGAGGACAAAGATCTTTAAAATTAGAATATTTCATTGATTAGTGAATGAAGGAGAAATACTTGCTATTCTTTTTTGTAAATTACTATTTATGATGGGTTCTTCAAGAGGCAGTTTATCACCCCAGCACCTTGTTTTGGACTTTCTGTTTGATATCACCTACAAAATGACAACACCGTCCTGCTCACATTGATTTGTATGAGCTCTTGATATGGACCAGGAGCCAACCAGGGCACTTTGATGCATCCAGCCTCATCGTAACCTTAGGTTAAGTGTCAGTATTGTTCCCACCTTGAGTCACAGAGGCTAAGTTTACTTGGCCACAGTCATATCATCTAAGAAACCTAGGAAGCCAACAACCATCCATTTTTTTTTTTTTGGTCGTATTCTTTCAAATTACTAATAGAGAAAGGGGGTAGATTATAAAAATAATAACCTCTAGGGATATCTGCATTCAGCAAAGCATACAACAGAGCAGATTTTGAATCACTGATAATGAACTAAGAGATTGAAAATACTAGTGTCAAATCTCAAAACTCTTCAGGTAGCCACAGATTTCTGTTCCATTGTTATTACTGTTGTACTAAGTGGCCACACCTAGCTTGGGAACAGGCAGTGGCACAGTGCTGCTTGGCAAGTGCAGGGTCCTGAGTTTTAGTCCCAGTATAAAAACAAAAACAGATGCTCTCACCTACAGGGTAAGAGTCAGACAGAAGCTACTGTGGAACATGCTGGCCACTAACTAGTCTGTTATTGGATTACTATATTAAAAAGCACAGCCCCTCCAGTAGAAGTTTGATTCTAAGAAATATAGCAACAAAAGTATATAAGTACATAATCCTAAACCTGTATACTAGTCCAATATTTACTTTAGGATGTACAGCTTGAGATATAGTGTATCCTCATGAATAAATGGATACAAATTAGTTTCAAATCATTCCAGGGCCAATAGAGCACTCTGTAAGGAAGGAATTGTTTTGTTTGCCTTGTCCACTATTGCAGCCACCTGTGGCTACTGAGCTTTCAAAATGTGGCCACTGACACTCAAGAGGTAGAATTTTAGATGTTACTGAGTTTGAACTTAAACAGCTACATGTTTGTAATAGATTGCTCAGTGCAACTCTAAAAAGTAAAAGTTTAATTATAACAGATATTGTACAATTTATAAACATACCTGTTCTTCACATCCTTCTGCTCTCATTCTTTGGACAGAAGGGTGAGAAAGGGGATGAAGAGGGAAGAGGTGGTTGAACCCAAAGGTTGAAATCATTTTCTGTTTATGGGTCCCAAATTCAAGCTGTGTTTCATTGACACTTGAGAAGGCTGCAGATTTAGCTGACCTGTCTGTTCCCTTGACTGTAGGCACCTCATTAATCTAGTGTTGAACCATGAAGCCCATTTCCCTCCTACCACTGGCACTATTTTATTTTATTTTATTATTATCTTTTTAATAGTGCAGGGTCTACAGGAGCTCACTAGGTAGATCAGACTGGTAGTGATTCTCCTGTTTACAGCCTCCCAAGTGCTGGGATGACAGGCTTGCGCCGCCACGCCCAGTCTTGGCTGGCCCAATTTTAAAGGAATCTTTTCAGATCTCAGATCTTTTCAGTAATCCTTTCAGATCTCACAGTTGTTTTTCTTTTAAATTTGTAGATTGCTCTGTGGATTAATATCAGCATATCAGTTCAGATTGGAATAGGAGAGATTATTTTGGGTAGTGAGGCTGTCCTATGAATTTTTGAGGGGCAACTTAGAAACTCAGCTTCGAGGCACAATGGCACAGAATTCTCTGTATTTATCTTTTCTCCAGTTTCGATTGGCCTCATGAGGGATTCTGTTACACAGATGGCTCTGGTGGCCCCTTTTCTCGTTAAGCAAAGAAAAACATACATGGTAGAGTTACTTTCCCTTTAACTGTTTTTGCACATTTTTATTCAATGTTAGGAATTAGATGACAGTGTTTTTAAAAGATACTATTTTAAACCACAAGTTGGTAGTGCTTGTGTTTTACAGGTGCATGCTAAATTGTCATTGCTTTTTTTTTCTCCTAAGACAGACCTCTAGAGTAACCACTTTCTATTTCCTGACCCTGAAAACAGATACCGTTTGGGATTCCTTTTATAGTATCTTCAACTAACGACTCCAGTGACCACTCAAATGTGGTCTTGTAGTAAATCAAAATTTCTTTGAAAGACTTGCTGTGTTACATAATCGTTACTGTGCTGCAAAATCAGCTCCCTAACAAAAAGGAAAGTGAGTTTCTCTTGCCCAAAATGGTTTTGACTCTGCTACTGCCCTTAATGGTCTTAGAAAACAACAGGACGCTCTCCAACCTTCTTCTCTTTTTAAATCAAGCCACAGCTGATGAAGTTTACATAACAGCTTCAGGCTGTTGTACCTGGTTGGCCAAGTTGGCCAATCATCAGTAAAGAGAACCACCTTGCAAATTGCCAGGAAAACCTATGCTTTCCCATGAATGTTTTGTTCTAGACAGAATTTTGGGTTTTGCAATGACTAAGGTGGACACCCTGGGCTCTGGGATGGATAATCAATTCCTTAGTATGGATTTTAATAAAATAGATTTAGAAAATAAAATCAGCTCAGTGATACATCATGAGCCACGCGCTCACAGCTTTCAGTTCATTGCCGTCACTCAGGCTCCAGGGAAGGTGACTGTATTTCTCTGTAAACCAGAGGGACAGTGGAATTTTTACACTATGGCCAGGTTGGTAAGGACTGGGACTGAACCAGGGGTGCACTTCGCCAGGAGGGGCTGACAGCTTCTAGGCAGGGGCCCGATCCTGGCGCTTTCCAGGGTCCATCAGGCAAAGAAATACTATGTTTCACATGCTTCTAGAAGTCAGTGCTTCCGTTAGCCACCAAGGAGAAGGCTTCCTTGGAAACTGAGGCCTCTGTTTGTACCAACCTTTGTTAAGCAGTTCACCTCTTCAGAGGCTAATGCCTCTCAAAACCAAGAACAATTAAAGCTAGACTCTTTCCCAAGCAACTGGGGAATTGAGCAAAATAAATCAGAAATCCTCAGCCTTGCTCCGGAGGCTCGCCTCATTATGAGAGCAGATCTATTAGCCCTCTCGCCATTGTCTTTCATTTCTCAAGTGAGGTGATTCTAATTAAATTAATCTGCATGTCAATCTATCGGTGATCAATCAAAGAGCCGGAGGTTTCCCCTATGCTGCAGGGTGCTTGTGGCTGACAGGGGCTGATAATGGAGGAAGAAATAAACTATCGGGCAAAGTTAATTAGTCAACATAATAGGTGGATTAAACAGGGAGCTGGCTGATTGCTGTTTCTCGTGTCAAAGCATGAGGTGGGAGCTGAGGCTGCAATTACAGACAATTATTATATTTGGTTGTAAGAGGTCACATGAATAAACATATCTCTGTGGGTTTCAGTGTTAATCCCCTTCCGGATTTCTCATAAGGAGAAGTGTAGGTCATTTCTCGATGTTGTTCTGCCCAAAGTCCTCTGGGGCACACCTTGGCCTTGCTCTCTTCCGCACACTAGACTTGGTGGGTTGTTGGGCATCCAAATGGTGTCTTGGGCCAGTCCCGCGATGTTTTTCTTTGCAACAGATTTAAGACTCTTCATGAACAGGGACTTTTTTTCTTTTTGAGGGGGGAATGAAGGTGATAGTGGTCAAGGGGATTTTGGTTTGATTAATCCAACTAACATGGGAAGAAAAAAAAGTACAAGAAATCTCAATGAGACACCCAAGAGAGAAGAATGCCTGCCCGACTCTCACTGAACTCTCCCTTTCATTTCTCTATCCTCTGCACCCTGACACAGTGGGGAGGAAATATTTTAAAGATTCAAAAGACTTTTATTTGCATGATCAACTGTGATATCTGCTTCAGCGTCTAAACTGAAGGGTAATTTAGGTGAAACACAACCACCCTTGTGTAAAAAAATATGCTAATAAAGATCTTCTTGTTAAAATTATGGTTAACAGTGCACCTTCTACTGTATAACTATAAACTGTGCAATTTTACTTAAAACTGCATCAAAAGCGTTCCATGCCAAAGACCCACTCATCAATAGCTCCTCTTGTTAGACTTGTACAGCATAAGCACCAGTTATTATGTGAAATAGCTATGCAATTTTCTTCAGCTCCCAGCTGTTATTTATTTAACTTGAGTTTATTACCCACCATGCTTTTATATTAAAATGTTCATTCATTTTTCTCTCATGTCTTTAGGTCGTGGTGTCTACAACAGTCAACGTGGATGGCCATGTCCTGGCAGTCTCTGATAACATGTTTGTTCACAATAACTCCAAGCATGGGCGGAGGGCTCGGAGGCTTGACCCCTCGGAAGGTACGCCCTCTTATCTGGAACATGGTAGGCGAATCATTTTCATTGGTTGGCATTGTTATTTTAACTGTGAATTTATTTGGTTTCTTTCTTCCACTCCACCACATTCTCTACTTTGTCAAATTCCAAATGTCCTTTTGAATAATACCTTTTTTTTGGTGGGGGGGGGTTAGTCCTCCAAATAAGATTCTAGGTATTTAAAGACAGGGATATGATGTTAGAGGCCCCCGTTACTTTGTTGCCAGGTTCTACATTGGTTACTATCTGTTTCCTTCAAGTTGTTAGGAAGAGATCTGAACTACTTTTTTATTTTAAGCTGCCATTTGGCTACAAAACAAGGAGATGCCAGGTCACAGGGAAGATCAGAAAAGGTCATATAGACCTGCTGGTGCATCTGGGTAACTGCCTGCTAGGTTTCAGTAGGAGACCAGGTCCTAAGTCTGAGGTAGAAGTGCAGCCTCACGTGACGCTCAGGCCCAACGTCCCTCCTGGGCTGCACATGGCCCTCCCCTCATTGCCCTTTGATTGAGCTTGCTTTAGGGGTAGACTTTGCTAGGAGAAATCATTTGTCTTGAGTAGAGGGCATGTCAGCGATGCCTATGACAGGACTGCAGGAAAACTGATGAAACTTGATTTCCAGGTGAAGTGAATGCTGCCCGGCAGACATATGTGTTGGGTTGGGCGCATGTCTAAGTACATCTCTGTTGCACATCTATAAAACAGATCTATCTTTCCATCCATCCTTCATCCATCCATCTATCCATCCAGGAATCAGTGACTGAGATCCCACTGGATACCAGACACCATGCTGTATTTTCTAGACTCTCCTTTAATTAAACCCTTAACCCATTTCCTCCACTTCACTTTCCAATTTGCTAGGTCAGCAGGATTCTTTGAGAATATTACTGCACAAATTATCATCTGATTGCCTGATTTTTTCCGTGGGCCACAAGCTGTCCACCATATAATTCGTAAGGTAGAAAGCTCCCTTTCCTGCCAGCATCCCAATTTAATAAACACACCACTGTCATCATTTTGGCCTGTTTCCCCCCCTGCGCTTGAGGAATGCACAAACAGTACATTTTATTAATTAGCCAGATGTAACACTCTTAGAAGGGATTCTTCACCACATCCAGCCTTACAGTCCTTTAAAGGAGACCATCATCCTTCAAAAGCTGCTTCTTTATGGTTTCATTAGTGCTGAGATGAATGGATATTACTTTTGCAGGAGGCCATTCAAAACACCTGCTCATGATTACATTCCTAGTTCTATTTCTGTACTTAAAATTATTCAGATACTTGCCTTCAAGTAATGTTGCCTTTTTAATACCCTTGGAGTCAGTCACTTAAGGCACTGTGGGACTACAGGTGTTTAGATGAAAGGAAGAAGAAAAGCTCAGTGAAAACTTAGTGGACACAAAGGAGCAGTCCTGGATTAGGAACTCAGGTTCTAATTTTTTACCGTGCCTGGGCAGTTGCACTGGGTTTGCCCTGCCTAGGGGAAAATTTGACCATCAGATTTAAAGTCTGTGAAGTGCACAGTTTCAAAAGATGCTCCAAGTGCAGGCCATATCTATTTCTCGTTTCTATTGTCAGGAATCCCATAAGAGAGATCATGACATATGTCCATTAGCTCTCCAACGACAACAGCAACACCCACAGCAACCATGTAAAATATAGCCCAATAGGAAGAATGTCTCTACTGGGTAGAGCTCTGCAGCATTATTTTTGAATGTGTAGAACTAAGTCTTGAAACAGGTATCAGGAGACCTAGATTCAGTTCTTCCTTTTACTCTGGCCTCTGTATGCTCCTGGACAAATCACCCTAGCTTCACAGATACCAGGCTTCCGTTTTGGTGAAAAAGAAGGTGGTCTGTAGAGTTGTGAAAAGAAAAATATCATATCTGTGCTTTGGGTGGGAGCAGGTAGTGTTGATAGGGGAAGTGGGCTGGGTGGGGACTGAGACCCAGTGAGTCACGCTCTGCTACCCAGGACCAGCCGGGGTCACTGAGGGGAACGTGAACCCACGGGGCCAGGTGTTCGGTAAGGATTAAAACCCTTGTAGTGGGTCATGCTTGATAAATAATTACAAAATGCTTGGACACTGAAGGGAGCTGAGGGGAGAGGGACACTTAGAAAGAATGCATCACAGGCTGTTTGCAGCCCTGATTGAAAACAGCTCTAAATGTTCTCCTAGCTCAAGCATCCTCTTCTCTACCAGTACATATTAATATTTTAGTTGTGAATAGTGTATTGCTCTAATTTTTAATGGCAATGTTTTATTCCTTTACTTCCATTCACCAGCCCACAATGGCCATGCTGAGACAGTTTCAAGAAAATGGTGACATTACATATCAGTAGTTAGCCATCGTTGGGAGACATGACTGTGTCCCATGTCCCCCAGCTTGGGACTTCACGTTTCCCCCAAAGACTTATTTTACTTCTCTCCAGTGTCATGAAAGGGGAGACACGTTTCGATCCTAAATAGTGATGCAGTGCTGGTACAGTAACACAGAAATCCGTTCCTCTGCAGCGAATCAACTAACCACACATAACCACCCACTCATTTAGACGCTTCAAGCGGATACATAAATATCTAGTCAGCAAAGGGCAGCTACTGAATTCTTTCCTTGGTAATGTGTGGGAGTGGACCTTGTTGCTAGTTCATGTTGGTTTGCGAGCAACGCTGGATCTCATGGCTGAAGAAGTCCCATTTTAAAATCTCTTGATTTTGAATCAGTCGCCCCTCTGTTGCTCTACTCCCACCCTCCCTCAGACAGCTGCAGCACAGAAGGCTGCAGAGCATGTTCACCCCTGGAGACCTGTGGCAGTCTTCATTTCCCCCCATCCCGGGCTCTTTACCACCTCATTTACAGGTAGCCTGAATTATTTTGAGCAATGCTGCACATCTCTATTTATATCCTGCTTGTCAGCCTGCTGAAGGGACGTTCCTTTCGTGGCTTAGCTTTCTGCATATAAGTGGAGATGAGATCATGGCTTACATGCTGTCTTCTCCAAGTGACCCATGGGCTCAGTGCCCCCACTCAGCTAAATGTCCCTGTACTTCACACAGGAGGGTTGACAAAGGCAAATTTATTTCATAGAAACTTGCATGGCTTAATGAGGGTGAGCCTCAGCACACATCAGCTGTGGCAGCTCCCCTGCTCCCACCCTCCCATTTTCTTCATTCATAAATACTGGGATTTGCTTTGGCTGGATATTTATGGGATCGTTTAGTGAGGTTTCTTTTTTAAGCAGTAGCTTTATGGAAGATGTACAGCTGTGTAGAGAGATAGCCTCAAAATGGAACTGCTCTCAGGGTTCCAGGTTTGGAAAATGCAGGGGCTGGGACCACCTCTGCACTGTGGCCTCCTGCACAGTGGGATTGCACGGCCTGCATGTTCACCTGGTCCTGCAGTGACTCAGGGCTGCTCCCTGGGGAGCTTTGCAGGAGTTGGGGAGTGTTGCTATAGTCACCGATGTCCTCCTTGGGTTTCAGGTTGTGTTTTCTTCAACCTAAGGCCAATTGTGGCATCAGTTGCTCTGTTTCTTCCCTGGTGGCAAGTGGTGGTGCCCTCACTATGAGAGAGTGCAGAGACCCTGTCAGCTTGCTCGTGCTAACACTTTATTATCTAATGATCTAATATGCAACAAGGCAAAGTGCCGGCGCTCATCATCCTGACACGGAATGCTGGGAGAAGCGACTAAATGACTTTATGTACCATTAGCTCGTGGTGATGGTGAACTTACCAGCAGCATTTATGCAAATGCCTGCAAATACACTCCAGTGGCTCTGTCAGGAAGCCAGTGAGGAGCTGTTTAAAGGCTCATTTTGGGGGCTATGTATATGTTTTTCCATTTTGCTGCACATGTGTTTTCCTCCCTTCTCTTTCTCTTCTGGATTGTTGGAGGCCTTTGCTGCTCCAGGAGGATGGGAGAAGGCTGGGAAGTTCAGTAACTCCCTACCAATAGAACCCATTCCAGCAGGGGGCTAAGAGCCCAGCTTGCTCTTTTTTTTTTATCACAGCTAGGTTTTATGCTTTGTGCTTATGAGTTTGTGCAACCTTCTTTGTTTATTGGGGGGAAGAAATAAATGGGATTGTTTTGAGAGTTTTCAGAGTAACAACATTTAATAGGCTCTGACCTGATGTCCTGTTTAGTGATTTTTTGTTTGTTTGTTTGTTTTGGCTTAACTATAGTTGTTTTTAAAGCACATCTACCTTTTAAAAATGGAAAATGACTGAAATTTAGCTTTTGTGGGTATCAGATATGAATGAATTAAATTTCCCTTCCAAGTAATTATGAAGATTATAAGATGAAGTAGAAATACACTAGGATCCCCAAATAGAACAAATCAAAACAAAAATGGGCTTTGGTCAAAGTAAAAATATTTTGGAGAGTGAAGAGCGATGTTAGACTCGCTATGCCTATGCCCTGGTTGTAATTATGGCACTAGGGAAATAGAATGAGGCTTTCACCACTGCCAGTGAGTTCTGACCCCTGGGTTCCAGCTGTCCCTGACAATACGGTGTTATTCTTGATCTTTGGCATCTGACCTCTGTTAATACTTTTGCTCCAGACAGGAGCAGTTTTTGCTGCTGTTGTTTGCCCCTGGGAGTCCAGGCTCACTGTCTTCCCTCTACCCAGCTGCACTTAAATTTGTTGTTTTATGGACATGTGGAGAAAGATGGTTCAAGCATGGGCAGATTGCTCCAGACTGAGAGGATCCCATGGAGTTCTTAGCAGAAAAGAGAAACCCAATTCATTCTCCCTTTGTGTAACAAGCGCTTAGGAATTTCCTAGGAAAAGGATCAGCTTAGGAATTTCCTAGGAAAAGGATCACGGTGGCTGCAGAGCTCATTCCTAGCCCCGACTCTGCCATTATTTTGCGGTGTATCCCTGAGTGGGTCACTTTGTTTGGCTGGGCTTTCGTTCACGCGATCCTGAGAGAACTGAGTTGGGGCATCCCTTAACCTCTGTTGAGTGTGCATTTCTGTAGGGGGTGGCGGAGTGAAGCCACCCGCTCC